ATCTTTACGAATACCACTCTACATAAAACTTTTCTCAGATGAATCTCCATTTTTCAAACCCAAATTTTGTTATTTTTCAGCAATAGCAACCGATCAACGAGCAATAGATAAACGTAAGAGTGTTTATTGTTCAGCAATAGATAAACACAAGAGTGTTTATTTAACACAAGAGTGTTTATCTATTGCTGAATAAAAAAGTTTTCGTTGAAGAATGGAAATTCATCGATGAAATTTTGAGGTCTCAAGGTATTACTGTTGAATAGATAATATACATTTTGTGTTGTGGGAAATGTGAATCCAGTTCAATCAGATCACATTTCAACAGCTTATAGATCGTTTTTGGATTGATTTCTTCTGAGACATAGTACTAGATTTTCTACATATACTTTTGACTGGGTTTCTGATATTCTTCAGGATATCATCGATTGTAATAAGGAGACTAACACTCCCTTGCGCAATTTGTTTTCTGTAGCCTTGGCTTCAGATAAATTTTTTTTAAAAAAATTTTGATATGAATGCCAACACGTTTTCTTGAATATACCACTGACTCAGTTCTATAAAAACATTTCGTTTCCCAACAGTATCAAACGCTTTGATGTCCAAAAATATTGCTAAAAACTTCTGTCGGTAAGCAAATACTTTATGCATAGCTGACTGAAGTTGAAGGTCCAGAGGTAGATTGGTTTGAATATAGGATAAAGAAAAAAACTTTAGTCTGATTTCTACTTTTTTTTTTATTTATTACTACTAGTTCGGTTTCGGTTTATTACATTATTCTCAAGTGAACTGATACATTTTGTCCTTGAATATACAGTGATACATTCAGGTACCTGCAATAGGTACCTGAAATAACACGTGTTACCTGAATTATCAATGTCAATACTACAACAATAACTATTTATCTTCTATATATCTATTGATACCCAAACCTAATTGTGGTTTTTTGAGCTATCAATGAATTCTAAACTAGTTGTCAAAATTCACAAATTCAAAAGGGGAGAGATGCATAGTTCTACTTGATCATTGAGGGTTTTGAGTTAAGGTTTTTATACAATTTATTGATTTTCAATGCTTCCAACAAATTCATCTCCCTTCCTTTATAGAACGTATGGATAATTTTCATGTTTTCTTTTTAAATTGTGAAGTTTATTTCTCGTAGATGTTCATATATAGGTTATTTTTCATCTCCCGGTATCTTATGTTGAAATTTTGGCATTTGCGTTGAATAGCATGTATGCTAAATTATTCTTACTAGTAAATGATATAATTATGTTGAGTTCTGAAAAATAGTTTTTTATGTTTTCAGAGAGCTTTCTCGAATAGCTTATGCTAGCATATTTCTTAGGTTCTTCATGATTTAGATATAGTTCGTTCCTGATCAATCTTTGGTTTTTATTGGAGATCAGTTCCTCAATTAAGTTGACGGGAATATGGTTATTAGATGTTATCTGATTTATAATCTTCATTTCTTCTTGAAGAGCTTTCTCTGATAACGAAATGATAAATGTTCTATGTATCTAAATGCCGATAATTTATGTGATACTAAACTGAAAAAATTCATAGGAAATGTACAATCCAATAAAGTGTTTTTCTAATGTCAAAATGTTAAACTGATATTGATTATTGATTTTTGTAAAAGTGAGATCCAGGTAGTTGATGCTTTTTTTGTTCAATTTCAACTGTGGAGGAGTGTTGAGGAAATTAAAAAAAAATTATCTGTCTCTTCGAGCCGTCGAAACCCACGGGGATATCATCTACATATCTGTACCAGACTGAGACCTTAGAAGAATCAAATATGCTCTTTTCCACACCCTGGGATGTTGGGAAAACAACGTGCATGAATTCCAAACCCCCCGAAATGTACGGTTTAATTAAACTCCATGAAGAGTGCAAACACACCAGATTAGAGGTATCCTACTTTGACGCTCCAACCGGTAAGTTGTCAAAATTCTTGAATTCTAAGTTCAGCTGACAAATTTCACACCAGCAAACGCCGTTTTGAATTTCAGAAACCTATCCAATAAGCTGAATAATAACATTAAATTGGTATCTATTAATGAGAAAAACAGGCTTCCAAATACTTCAACAACCGAATGCTAAAAGATATACTGAATAAAAGGAATACAAATCCATATATCACTAAGGAACAATACAACCTTTTTGATATATATCTCAAACAAAATCATTTCGAAAAGAATAAAATTTTCACCTGCAAAATCCAGGCTTTCTAATAGGGTCACCGTTGAGTCTCTTATTAGCAGATATTTTTGTGGTCAACTTAGAAAATACGCGTATATTGAAGAATGCCTTATTACAGAAAAACTTTTTAATCTGCTTCAGATATGTAGATGATATCCTCGTGGGTTTCTTTGGCTCGAATGGATAGATAATTTTTCTCCACGATGAGTTTATTCGTCCTTCGAAGCTTGATACCAAACAGTTGTTGGACTACAGTAGAGATGAACTTACGATGCCCAACAGGCCATCTTACAGGCCACTGTCATTTGAATCATCATATGCAGAGACTCGGACTGTCGGAAGACAGTCTCTGCCTCTGTTTGGAAAATTATGAAACAGCAGAGCACATACCTTGTGCCTACCTAGCTGGAGTTCGGCAGAGCCGTACCCTTACCATCTGACCTGAAAGACCAGAAGATGAGTTTATTTGCTCGAGTGTGAGTAGGTATGAGCCACAATAAACCTTCGCGGATTACGGTGGAGGGTCAAATAGGCCCACTCTCTTTGGACCTAACCTAACCTAACCTCTACGTTAAGATTAAATTCATCGTCGAAATTGAACAAACCAATATAATTAACCTCCTGGATCTCACGATTACAAAAATTATTGATAAATTTCAGTTTAATATCTATAGAAAAAACACTTTTGAGGAGTGTTCAATCCCTATGGATTCTTTCAGTCCATTATCACATAAACTATCGGCATTCAGATCAATGATACATAGAACATTTATGTTCCGTCATCAGAGAAGGCTGTTCAAGAACAAATGAAGATCGTAAAACAGATATCTAATAACCATATTCCCGTCAACTCGATTGAAAAACTGATCTGGGTTACATTATTTTCTAGTAAGAATATTCCAGGAAACATGTTGTTCAACAAACCGAAACCGATCGTAACAAATATGAAAACTTAGTAGAAATCACACAAAAGTTATTTTCTTCATTTTGTATTCAATACGAATTTCTACAAAATAAATAGGTCATCAATCGAAAACAAGGTAGATTCATTCATCGTTATTCGAAAATTCAAAGGTTTGTCACTGTTACCTTCAATCTGAAGAGATGCCAATTCAGAGGTTTCTTTCATCTATTGGAAGTTGACTAGAGTTGTCTACTAACAAGTTGGCAATATCGATGAACTGAGATTGTTATACCTGTGGCACAGGCGTGGAATGTTTTAGGGTTGGAACATAGCCCATGAATAGCCTCTGCTATTTTGAAAACATATTTTTTCTATACCCTTTGAAGACTCTTTTGCTAATAAACGTTATTTTATGGCGTTCATCGGTCCACTACATTAATATCGTCTGTGTTGTTTTTGGAAATATATATTAATTTGCCCTTCACCACATGCCCATTAAAAAACCAGATGTTTTCGATAGCGTTCTTGTCCTTCATAGTTACAGGAAGATGTGACAACAGAAGGCATTGTAGATGTTGGATAATGGATGGAATATTTGAGGAATATCTCTGCATCTTTCAAATCAACTGTGAGTGAAATTTGTTCTGCTCCTCTATGGTTCATGGTGTGTATATCGAAGTTCCGCAATATGCTCCTAATTTTTTTATCTGACTCAGTGGAATGAGTAATACATTTTTCAATTATATGTTCGTTCTGTCTGTCCATGAATTAATTTATTGAAGACATATAACGAGTGGTTCTTTCCTATTACTCCCATCTCGAAATGGGAAACGACCCCGTTTAGATTACATTGTGAACTGAATTGGAGATTTTTCATAAGGAAAGAGTAAAATCAACATTAAATGCGTGCCTAGCGATAAATTGATTTCAAATTCAGAGGGTAAGCGATTAGAGGTCGATAAAAGTTAACAACAAAACTGTTTCAGTATTTTTTTTCACAGTTATCCTGAATGAAAGAAATATACTTTTGTAAGAATTCTCAAGAGTTTTTGAATATCTTCGGTATATTCAGCAATGCTGAGAGGGTCGGTGAATAATTTTCCAAGCAAGCTGATGATTTCGTCGAAGTTTGAAGCGAAGGAAGCGGAATCTTCATGGAATAAATTTTTTGCCGGTGTTATCGAACTTTCTACAGTGTTCAATGGTTTCCAAGAGAAATTTTTCTTCAGTTTCTTCAAATGTATAGAGAATGTTGAATCAATTGCAACATATTTGTTTACTTCTCCTGCAGGAGAAGAATGGAATGCTTTTGACATTCAATTGGATTGCATGTGGTTGCCTGATATCGAGAACTGGGTACTCTAATATATTCCAGTTTTAGACAATTGTTCTGTTGATAGATTGTCTTCACATGATGCTACGACCTGACAGCCCTTTCAGCATTTGAAGCACGTGGATGTTATATTTTCATCTGGTTGCTGGTAGACTTGCCTGACTGAGGATATGGTTAAACTTTGGCTCTGATCCTGTCGTGTGTTCAAGAGATGAATTGTTTAAAAGGACTATTCAAACATTTGAATATTTGGATCGTAATTAAATCAGATCTCCCACGACAAAAACAGTCGAAACCTGCATTTTGAAGTGCTTGAAAGTGAACGGCCAGTGATCAAGTTTTTTTTTTTTTTAATTTACCAAACATATTGAAATCGTTCTGAATTCGTATAAATTTCTTGAGGTTCATCATTAGCGGTATATTTGAAAACCATTCGTTGAACTTTCTACATGTTCTGCTAATAATTTTATCACACTGTCCAAAAGATAATAAACTAGATCATAAGAACTTTATTTGAATAGTTTCACCAGTAGCATTCATTAGAGATGAATAATCATTTCTTACCAATGTCGGCTCCAAGAGTTTCCCTCAATAGTAAAACAGAAAATAGAAACCAGAACAACATATTTGAATTCTTTTAGCTGAAGTGGTAATGAACACACACACACATCTTCAGCCATGTCTATTTATACTGATGATATAGAACTTATTGTTATGCTAGAGAAAATTGATTATTCATGCAATTACCAAAAATGAGTTCGTTTCAGATAATTTTCAATTTTAGAACTTCTAATTGGACGAGCTTGAAGATAAAAATGCTGTTAAGGATTTTCTGTTCATTTAGGTATTTATCATATTTTTATCGAAATTCGAAAGGTAACTGATGACATTGAAACAAAATTTGCGAATACTCATGTAATTATTTATTTTATCGGTATACTATTCAAAAACATCTCAAACTTGAAGGTTAATGGTAGATACGAGTGCGGGGAAATAAAAACTTCCAAGCGGATGGGAATGAAATAGTTATTTGAATTTTGTTTTCCATTCTTCTTTCCGGATGCAATCCTAACTTTCTGTTCACGTGTCAGCAACGTATCCTAGCAAAAAATATCTATGAACAGCATGAAACAATGAATAGAAAAATACCAAAGACGTCAGATGGTGGTTGGTTGGTTAGTACGAGTACATGGACAAAACGAAATTACTGGTATGTCCCGTCTGTTCCCAGTTGTTTTCTTCTGGATCTCATTTTTTGCTCTCTATCACAGTTTTCGAATTTTTTGTCAGAGATATATTCCACTTGCATTTTCTGTTTCTCTTCTATGGTTTCCATATGCTTGCGTAGTTACTCGTTTTCCATTAGTAGCTTCTGATGAGGATGAGAAACGTTATCAGTATCGCCTAACCAATCTCAAGAACTCAGAGTTTCCTGTTTTTCTACATGAAAGCTCAAAATGCTACTGATCTCGCAGATTTCAATTTTTGACATGTAGGCTTATTTTGGAACATGCTCTAATGACTCCACTTGGCTTGTAATCTGTCTCAGCACTTCTATCAGCTCATAGGAATAACTTTTTATGCTATGGTCTGTAGTAATTTCCAGTCTTTTGCATTTTCCTAATTTTTTCTTCATATCTGAAAGTGAGATTGTTCCTGATCTAGGAGGAGTCCTAACTGAATCGTTTTATTTTCTCAAATGTATTTTTCTAATCAAGTGTTTCTTCTCCAATGTTATTCACCAAACTTTCATCCATTTGATTTCCACCAGATGGGTCGGTTATAATATTCGGCATGACAGAAATATCAATTTTTTTTTCACTTGTATTCATCTACATGTCATTCACATGACTAAGGCATAAAGTAGGTCAGCCATAGGAGTGCTCCCGTACTGCGACAAGGTCTATTTCGCTACCAAAAGAGACCAGATATCCGGCACGTATCGTTTGTGGCACGGTCACGAGCGAACCATTCATCCCCTAGCCACTATAGGCTCACATCGTGGGATTCTTGGCTTATTTTATCGGGGTTTACTACTCTAAAATATTCCACATTGGATAGAATGCTTTCTATCCAATGTGGAATATTATCTCTCATCCAATGCTTCGAGCAATTTATGATCGACTCTCTCAAAGGGATCGCTTGAAGAAATTAGTGTACATAGAATCGACCTGCAACTTGTTTTTTAAAGAACTGATGATACGGCTATCATACAAACATACATAAGTAGCAGTTGATTTTCCTTTGATAAATCCATGCTGTTATCACGAGAACTATTTTTCTCAATAGGTTAACTTTGTTCTCGAAAGTTTTTGTTTCAAGAGAGTAAGTGAGTAACTAATGTATTAGTTTCGGTTATGTGAAAATATAATTCTTAATCAATACATAGGGATGCCATTAGGACCTGTAGTAAGTTTGTAGAGCAGCGACAGTACCAAATTTATTATTTCATCAATATTCATACTATTTCAACTGTAACTGCGACAGTCATTTTCAGTGGCATGGTCGAAGTACTCTTTTCGACGTGTCAACTGAAAGTTTCAGCTGACCAAAATGTCGACGCCAGCCATGAAGCTTACATTCCATGTATTGAGGAATTTGATTTTCTATGCTACTATGCATCATGGAACTTTAAAAAATATTTTCAGAAAAAATTTAAAACTTCATCGCTATTGTTACTACAAACACCTTTATGAACCATACAAGATAGGAGGTTGCAATTTTTTTCAAATTAATATATTTCCAGAATTATCGGGGATCAGCTGAAATATTATTTCGAGTTTGGGATATCTATCTACTATAGCACTTCTCTCGTGGTGTGTATCAGTGATTTCTAGGATATTGAAATCCATGAAAAGTCTCAACGTTTCCGTTTTCATATTCTCTATGTACTTTTCTCTTTTCAACATTTTTGTTACCCACTATATAACAATAAATTTTTATTCTGATATGCAATGACAGTTACGATTTATTGAAGTTTGAGGATATCAGACGAAGGATGTCAAAGCCACGATGTTTCGAACTTCCTACTGGCCATCGTTCGATACTCATGTTGGGACTTCACGATGAGAAACTTTTATTTTTTATAAAAGGTCGGATGTTCATGGGCTCTTAGATTGTGATCTCTCATTATAACTGGCAGGTGACTGAACAATTTGATTCCATTGAATATGATAATTCCGGTATTATATGTTATAGCGTCTTTCAATTGTAGAAATGAGTTGCGCTCTCTAAATTTCAAATTAAATCTTAAATAGTTATCAAATAATTCTGAAAACCATTCTGAATTTGAATGAAAGCCACAAGCCACACCAAACATTCATTTTCTGAATATATTAGCTCGTACAATGTATAGTGAATCTAGCGGATCGCTCCGGCTCCGCATGGGTTTCGTCTTTGAGCAAGGCGTAATAATAACCAGATTCAACGCCATAACCACAGTGAAGGATTACTGCATGAAAATTATAATAGTGATCTGCTAGATTGAAGTGTTCATCTATTTCGAACCTTCGTAAGAGTTTGGTGCTTCCATCAGAGGTTGAGTCATGTTTGAAGATCATCAGTGTTATTATTAGATTGACTAGTGTCTCAACTGTAATTGTTTTCTTATATCAGTCAGTTAGTTCGGCGCATGTTTGGCAATACAGTCGATCATCACTAGTAAAAAGTTCCATTTTCAGATGATTTTATAATAAGCTTTGCACGTTCTCGTTCATAGTTAAAAGCTGGTTCTCGTAATTCTCCGTCATGAACAACACTTGTAAACTGCTATTCTGCCTAAGTTATCTAATCCAATTTTCTTCTTAAAATTTTCAGGAAAACTCTCTACTGATCCGTAAGGAAGAACATTTTTCACAGAATCTGCATAATAAGAACCATTTCTCAAGCTGCAATCGATCTTTCCAAGTGATGAAGGGTTTCGTAGAGGAATCGATTCAGCTCTCGCTTCATGAAGCTCTTTCACTAAAGGGAAATCAGAACCACGAGGACTGCAACTCATATTTGGGGGGCGACAATGACCTAAGTCCTTTGAATTCATTGAAAAAGAAGAAGGTGAATCAATCACTTGTGAAATAACCTTGATAAGAGACTGATGAATATCCACATATCTCGGCTTGTTTCGAGAATATTTTAGTTCCGTACTGAAATGAGGGCAATGCATGATCTCATCAAAATTATATGAGAGAGGAATATTTCCAAGGACCGCGGCAGCATTACCACATCGAATAGCAATACCAATTCTTTCTATCAGCTCCATTTTTCAATAATTTCGCTGAGTGTGAGGTGTTCTATGACAGTGTCGTGCAAATTATAGTTTCGGGCCACGGGAACCATTTTTTAAAAAGACTTTATTTATTTGGATTTACAGACTTTATTGTACAGAAGTTACTCTAACAATCGTACTAACAGAACTGACTCTTCCTTCAAGATAGGTAGCTTTCATAGGTTTATTATCGCTTAGTCAGCATTTGATAAATAAGCATAAAGGAGGGTTTTATATACATAACTCCTCCATCCCTAAGATGAAAATAATACATCAATATTATTTTCATCATCCTTTTCTAATTGAATATTTTCTTGGTTATTTTTTTTTTTTACATTTAAATGTGTTCTTATATTTGGAATGTAAAATAAAATATGTAAGAAGTATAATAATTATAAATATACATCAAAGTATAAGAAGTGCTGTCTTCTTCTAAGGCTTCTAGTCGATGTAATTGGGTTTTTTCAGCGAGGTCCTGAAGTCGGGTTAGTTCGTCGAGGTTTACTCTTTCAGGAACTTTCATGGGGTTATTCTCAGGATGTAGCTGGATAGTGTCTATTTCGGGTAGAGGGTTTCCTTGAACGGAAGTGGCGTCGTTGGAATAAACTTCGCCTCTAACAGTGAGGTTACATTTACATGGGATATGAATCAACTGTGGTGGTCTGATCTCTTCGTATTCATGCTCCTTACAATTTTTCCCAATCATGATCTTATCATTGGGAATAATAATAATGTAGGCATCGTTGACAGGTTCTATTATGTCCTGGTCTAAGTGAATTTGCATCGTCTGGCATTGATAATCGGTTTTACCAATTAGTAATTTCGGAAAACAATCTTCCTTTGAAATTTGGTTGCCAACATGGTATATGCAGGTATTTTCAATTCTCGTACAGGGTTCATCTTCATAATGATGGTAAGTCGAGTTAAGAATTATATAGGGTTTTAAAGGTACGATAGCTTAGTTGAGTATTGGAATTGGAAACAAATTGAAGTAATCATAAACATTTTCAAGAAGTATCGGAAAATGAATGGCAATTATAATAATTCCATTTTTATAATTAATTTCAATTTTTAGTCATTTGTTATACGACTGAATTTTTTTAAAGTTTGATAAACTGCCTTTGTATAGGTTTAACATTATTTTTAATGATTCTTCGATATCAGATAATGGTAATATCGTGCTATGAATGATGTTCAAGGTAGAACGGTAATCTTTCGTTGCTTGGCCTATTCTTCTTTCGAGTTCATGAATAAATAACAGAGACTCCGGGCCATAAACATCAGAATTTTCAACCCCTACTGGATGGAACAGATAGTTACCAAGATTTTGGTATTTTCTTCGTTTTAACTTTTCGCCAGACAATGCTGCGTTTCCAGCAGACTTCGAACTTTCGGCTAGATGGGAA